CATAGAAATAAAAAAAAATTACGTATGTTTCTCTCAAAGTATTATGGTGACGAGACGTTAAACCCCATTCCATTTCATTTCAATCCAAATATAAAATATATTTTAACCTCCTTCAGAAATCAATTCAGAGGGAAGGAAGTGGAGAACAAGACAGTCAGGTGTTATCTCGACCTGTCCCAATGGCTCCAAGACCACGAGAAGCTACCGCCATTGATGACAGAAGAGTTAGACGAAGGGAATATATAACTTAATTACATCAAATGTCAAAACACATGACATCAGTGGTGACATTTGATGATTATATCTGGAAGGCGAGATAGATCAGATTAGGTTCTATTTTAACCCTTTAAATCTCCCCACAGCTCCTTTATGTACCGTAGACAGCTTAAAGGAGGTGCCCCGGGCTCTGGTTACAAGTCGTGTATATCGTATTGCTGGCGGTTTTAATTCCAGTCTACGAACAACGTTGTGAAGGACGATTCAAGATAGGGAGATAAGGTAAGAAAAATGATGTAAGAAAAAACCCCACCAGCCTAACATGGAACCGAGTACGACATCATCGCAGCCATCTTGAAATCGTATTTATAATTAAATGGGTTTTAAAGGAGGCTTTTGTTTATTTGCCTTTTGGGCAAGTTATAGAATACCCTGAATATAAACTGTTTCTACACTGTGTGGGGCATGATAATATATGTTATCACAGTGATGTAAAGAAGAGAGAGAGAGAGAGAGAGAGAGAGAGAGAGGGAGTATATGGGAGGATTCTGTTTTAACCACGCCACATGATTCAATGACACATCTTATGCAAATGAGGCGTTATGTAAGCCGCGGTGGTCAAGCGATAGAACACTGGTGCACTGACCTCAAGAGTTAGAATCCCTGCGAACCGGGTTCTCAATGTGGCGTGTACGCGAAACCTAGGTAGATGGAATTAGAAGAGTGGGCGGAAACGTCGCTGTTGCACTCCGAACCGCTGAAATAAAATAATCAAATCCGGTTACCAAATTGGCATGGATAGGGATGGATCAAAGTGTGGGTGGGGGATAGGGGTAGAGCTGCAGCCAGAGGCTCTAATATAAAGCAAATAATTAATAATATTATGATTTTATTTATTATGTCCTATGTTGTATATGTCTGTACCACATAAATCTATCTATCGTACTTGACGTACAAATTGCATTTGTGCGAGTATGACAGACAATGACCAGAATCCCTTTCACCGTTGATGCAATGACATTTTCAGGCAGGGGCTCCATGCAAGCTTAATCCGGTTCCGGTCGAACCCTTGACAAATGAACGTCGACGAATAGGCGGAAAATAATCATGTTAGTCTCGATATGGTCGAAATATTGTGTTTGCAAGAGGTTAAACTCCACTGCATAACATTCCATTATATTTGAATGATTCAGTTTTTACTGCGTATATATAAAACTGAAAATAGAAAAAGGGCCCATTCAAAACCTAAACTACTTTAGGTGTGGGTGTGGCGTGAATGAAGCAGCTGTGACCAGTTTGCGCAATTCGAGACTTCAGTGGTTTCATTGACCTTGTCTCTGATCACCCTTTAAGGAATGATTGTAATTATATAAATGTCACGAGTACATACTTACATGCTGATGGACGTATGAATGACAATTAAATACTGCAATAACGCCAGAAAAATATCCAATGATGTCCGAAAAAAACATAAATAGTTTCAATAAGAGCTTTTGTATTAATGGGTGCTTTTTTCCCCTTTTGGGTAAGTTTAAAGTACCTCGAGCATAATATAATGATGTTATTACAAATCATAACGTATTCACTGATGTAACAGACTGTTTTATATGGCTGAAATTAGATTTTCTCTCATTAATAAAAAATAAAACCCATGTATATATATATATATTTATTTTTAATAACCCGCTTGAAGAAACTGATTAAGAAATGCCCTCCAGTATACATTTATACCTCTGTAGAGAGAACCATTTGTAAAACGTTATCTAATACAAGAAACAAATGTTTGAATATTATGTTATTAAATCATAAATTTGTCCAACATACGCCCACTTCAGCCATGTCGTCAGGGCATATGTCATGTAATGTTCTATGAGAGAAATTTCGTCCGTTTTCACCCACTCTTCGTCGAATTCCTACTGCCAAGGGTTCTTTTATATGAACGAGTACACGGGATCTCTGTTTTTCATAACACCCGAAAAACAACTAGACTATCTCCCAGGTGTGTATACGAAAGAGAATATGACAGATATTAGCTGAGTGACATTCAAACAAAACTTGGAAATTTGGGGGAGATATTTATGTAATTCGCATGCGTAAATGTAATGAAAGGGGGTTTAATGTCCTACTGTTCTGTTCCGACTGAGCTAATGAAGTCGGTTGCATGCGTAAAAGGTGGTCCAATTACAGCTAAAAAACTTTATCAAAGAAGAATATGTCAAAAAGAAAGAAGCATTTATAATTGCCAGGGCCATCTTAACAGCATTATAGGCCTCCGAGAAAATAGGTGCACTGGGGTCCCCACCTACACAACCACTTACAGGAATAAAGATAGGTTGCCAGACAACGAAACATATGCCCGGGCGGTCAACAAGGGTTGTCGCATATTTATAATTTTCGTTTGGGGGTTTACAGTGTTCTACAAACTGAAACAAGGGCCTTAACTCTGGAAGTAATTTACAGAAATTAGTGCATATAAATTTCATACAGATCGGATGACAAACTGTTTTCATTCGAGTGTACACAAGGTCCAACAAAGTGAAACAAGGGCCATAACTCTAGAAGTAATTAACGGAAATTACTGAAATTCAATCGGATGTTTCGTTTCACTAAATTAAAGGATGCATATAAATTTGAAACAGATTACATGATAACTTTTGTCGGGCGAGTGTTCACAGGGTCCAACAAAGTGAAACAAGGGCTCTAACTCCAGAAGAATTTAACTGAAATCGTTGAAATTCAATTGGCTTCTTCGTTTCACTAATTTAAATGATGCATATAAATTTCACACAAATCGAATGATAACTTTTGTCGTTTTAACGTTCACAAGGCTATACAAAGTGAAACAAGGACCATAACTCTAGATGTAATTAACGGAAATTGCTTAATTTCAATAGGAGTATAAATTTCACTAATATAAATGGTGGATATAAATATCGTTAGAGCGTTCACAAGGTGCAACAAAGTGAAACAAGGGCCATAACTCCAGAAGAAATAAACGGAAATTGTTAAAATTAAATAGGCTTCTTTATCTCTTTAATGTAAGCAACATATATATCAATTTCAAAACAATCAGATGATCAATATACGACCAGATTTCCATGTGGGCGTATAAAAATGTAAATGGTCGATGAAAATAAACACATATTTATTGTATTCGTACTTTTAATAAAATCGGTGTTTATTAAAAAGTCGTACAAGTCACATATAAATTAGTAACTGCCAAGCATGCCCGTGCGTTAAGACGGCCGTGTAATTAACTTCCACAATCTAAGTTACTCAAATATGAATCAAGTTTGTCAGGTACATGTATCAAGCTAATAAAACATCTAAATCTTAAAATAACACTGACATTTACACTTCTTATACAATATGTCCCATAGGCGTTGACAAGGCTTTTGCCCTGAGCATTGCTGTTCCTGTTCAACTCAAACGTCTTCGATGACGTTTCCATGCACACGCATATTGATTATTACAAGGGCACATGGAAATGTTGTAATATTATGACGTGGTTGTTTGATCAGTATCCTATTTATGCCAAGAAGAGAGGGGATTGGATTTTATAAATTGACGAGTAATGAAATTAGAAGTCAAATTAAATGTAGTTTGCCAGGCAAAATATACGCCTACAATTACAGTCGCCCATGCAGTCCATTGTGGTACATAAAGGGCAAATCTGTATCATATAAAACACAGTTGCACCCAAACTGCTTATTTATGTCCGTTTAGCCCGAAATGCCTCCTTCAATTCATTTTCCGTAAATTGGCGGGTTCCAGGGTGAAATAACCAGTAGCCAATCGTGTTCACGAGGGGTGATGACTCCGGAATGGAAAGTCGCGGAACACTCAGTATCGCCAGGGTTCATCTTCTCATGACCCCAATGCTTCAAACTAAATTTGAAAAGAGGGGATTACTCCGTAACGGAAAGTTGTGGAAAGCTAATTATCGACAGGGTTCGTCCTTTTATGACTACGCCGCGGTGCTTCCTCGTATGACCACGGCGCTTCACACCAAATTTGAAAAGAATCTGTCAAAAACTGTAGCCTCTATTGCGTTCACAACCCAATTGTTGGCTGACGGACCGACAGACAGGGGGACGTAATACGCCCACATTTTGGTGTGGGCGTATAAAACTGTGAAATTATTACTTGAGCATATGAGAGGTGGCTCTGGAATCTTCAAAACAAGCAATCTAACCCAGACCATTACATTCAGTGGCCGCAGCAACCCTAAGACCCGAATCTGACTGATTACGCCATCGGGATTACCCACAGTTCCGTGCAAAACACGACTAAAGCTCGCCGTAACAGACCGTTTCATTGGCTAATTCCCCACACCATTCAGAACACGTCAATGATAACAACTCTTCCAGATCCTAGTGTAGTAAAGACAAGTAACACAAAATTTTGAAATATAAAAACGAAACGAATAGGATCTGTGTTTTAATCAGATTGTTTTAGCGATGAACATGCAATTCGGAGCGAAGTTGTCAAACATCCATCTTTTACAACACATGTACAACCATGTATAGGTACAATCTCGAGAATCATATTAAAAGCAAAGCCAAGAAATATTGTGACCGTCGAATTGGCAAGTGGAAAATACGGCTGGTAGTTTTATTTCAAGGGAGAAACTCGTGATCGTTGTTAATAGATTATTTGAACGCAGCGTAGGTTTCGACTTGGCCGAAGTGTACACAGGTCACCACCAGCCAATATGTTTTAAAATAAAAGGGTTCCAGAATACACCGTACGTCTAAAACTTTTGAATGAGATAATATAACAAAAACATTTCAAAAACTTTATAAGCATATAAAATACAACAAGTACATTATTATTATAATAAATGCAGAATACCAGTAAATACTGACTGACTGGCTCAAATCTTCACTTTTTGCCGATTTGAAAAAACTGTTTGATAAGTAAAAAAGATAGATTGCCATACAACGAAACATAAGCCCACATCAGCTAAGTCGTCCGGAAGTCAACTAGGGTCGTCACACATTTATTTTTTGGTCAGTAATGCAAACATTTACAGCACACTAAAATCTGACTTCGTGTAACAACCCATTAAGTAATTATCGGAAATCATTTGAATTTATTTGGCTTCTAGACTAGTTCTGCCCTATACTAATGTTTAGTATATACATGTATATAACATTTAATATCAAGGGCCAAAACTCTGGAAGTAATTATCGGAAATCAATAGAATTCTTCGTCTCATGACCTCAATCATTGTGTATAAATTTAAAGTCAACTTCAGCCTCTAGAGTATCCACAAGCAATTGTGGACCCCGGACACACCGACGGATGGAAGGGATCGACAATATACGACCACATTTCAATGTGGGCGTATAAAAATACAGATTTGATTCACAAAATATATCCATGCAAACAAGACATACAAAGGATTTTTTTTCTTTGGCATTCACTTGTTGCCAATTTGAATAATGTGTGGCAAGCAAAAATAAACTACATAGTTTTGATATACCAAATATGTATATCTGGGTGAGTAAACACCAAGGACAAATAAGCACTGAGGTAAATTATACAACCTGACGGATTGTGCACAATGTATCGTGGACAGTAGGGGTACTACTGACTGACAATCTGTGGCTGATAGACTAAATGCACACTTTTATCACAGATTGTTTGAGAGCGAGGAGAAAGAGAGAGAGAGAGAGGGGGGGGGGGAGTAACACCTGCTAGCCTCTGGTGAAAACCAAATCACTTGACTCAACTGACAGGCATTATGATCTAAAAAACATTAGATCACCCAACCATTTGATTGAAGGGGGCTAATATATGTATGTATGTAGAAGGGACAACACATAAACATCGATTGGGTATTATGACAAATAATTATGACTGAAACATGGTAATGCAATTCCTTACACGTAGTAAGTACATGAACAACGGGTCTGGAAAGTTGCCTTTGTGGATCGCCACGTGGCGGTCGAAGGAACTTAGGAAGACGATATCTGCATGGATTGTGCACTTCGCTTGTGAATCGCGCGTTTTCGACGAACCGTATGAATTCCAGGTACTGGTAGGTATTAAAATAATTATTGGATCACACATTTAATGGTTTCGCTGACCAATTGCTAGTTAAATTTAAATCTTGGTTGAATATAATCTCGAACAGAACACACCGAGAAACAGTCATTAATAATCTATTTCCGACACAATCTCCAATGCCGAATCCCCGATGACACGTGACATCGGTTGGAATTAGGTCAGTAAACCAGGGGTGATAGTTTTAGTTTTAAATAGCGTTTACCGTTATGATTTTTTATTTTATACAGACGCTGACAGAGGCTTAATTTTAAAAATATTGTCATTATTATTATTGAAAGCTATGGCATAGTCGCACAGAATTTTATTTTAAAGCAATTTCAATTATGGTTGCCACGTGATCAATCAAGGACGAACGAATAAAAACATTTGCAAGTTACGTGATAGACAAAAACTACAAATAAATTGTGTTTTGAAGAAATACCATGGTGTCGTATCAGCTTATATTCATCGAAAAAACCTACACAATAATTTAATCAGGAATATTACAGTTCTGGTCGGTTCATTTCAAAATGGATTAAGAACCCTGATGAATATGTAAATATAACCTTCATCGTATCCCAATGGCTGATGGTTCTTATACCTGTACATAAAATAAACACAGATGTGCCTCAGTTTGAACGACAAGGCATACTTTCCTTGTTGGCCCGTTTTTAGTCAAAATGACAGTTCCCTACCACCTCTCAAATATTTGTGCCTGCCAATCTATACATGGCTTGACCTCAGGTGTTTGCTCCCATTCGAATGACTAGGCAACAGGGGGGGCTTACTAGGTTTGAAAAATCCTGAAATTCTACTTAGCCCATGTCAGAATTCCAACTTAGATTTGAGTTTTATGCTCCAGGGAGTAACAATCAGAAATACATGTACATGTATAAACAAAACCATTATTAAAGAAATTCAATATATAAAACATAATTATATACATGTACATCCAGGTAAATGCTTTCTCACATATATCAAAAAAAAAGGAGTGTAAAATCATTACTTAAACAGGCATTGTGTAAGAGCTAAATCTAATTATTGAAGGTCCTTCTTTGGGCCTTAAATTATATATATAAAAATATAAATGAAACATGCAACCACAAGAAATGGGATCTCCAAAGTATTAAACTGGCTTGTGATTTGTCTTTCAAGCTGATAAGAAAGTAAAGAGTAAAGATACATGTACATGTACCAATCCAAAAAAGGGGGGAGGGGTATGGATAGAGAGTACATGTAGATACTATTTCAATAATTTGCTTGAAGGGGTCTTTACAGAAGAGGGAAGGAGGAAACCCAGGAGATTAGGTGGGCTTGGAAATGAATTTATTTCTTGCACAAATAACAGACCGAATAACCTGCACACACATTCACACACTCACTCTCTTATAAACAAATTTAATGGTGTGTATCATTAACCAACAGGACAAAAAACACCCTAGGTAAGTGTAAAATTGGAAGTATATGTAATGTGATTACTGAAGACTTTTCGGATGTCAAATTGCCATATTATATGCCATTTATACATGTACATGTATAGGACCAAATCCACAAAAAAATGCATTAAGCACATACAAAACTATACAAAAAGTTCACTGGTTCCAAGTTTTTTGACAATTTTTGAAATATATTTTGATAAGATGAGTTTTTAATCAAGATATGAAGAGTAACAAAGAAGTCACAACCTATATTATTTAACATATAATAACAATCTATTCTAAGTAACACAATCACAATCTATTTTAAGTACATGTCACACAATCAATTCCGAGTAACAATTGATTTTAAGTAACAATGGATTAAAAAAAACAACGGTTTCCAAGTAATAATCGATTTCAAGTAACAATCGATTCAAATAACAATCGAAGTGATTTTAGTTTTCTGTCATAAGGTATATCAGAGCTATACCAGTACATATACACAGTAACATTAACTTTTTTTCACTCATCTAAATGAAACTTCTCAAAATGGTCCTGTAAATGTTCCTGTTTCACAAAATTAACATAGCAAACTTGACAACGATATAATGTCTTATCAGAATGAACTGCACGATGTCGTTCTAAATTTATTTCATACCAAAAGCCTCGTCCACAATCAGGGCATTTGAGCTTATCCTGTTCCAAATCATCTATGATTTTTGTATCTAATGATTCTTCATCAATGTCATCAACCATGTCCCTTGAATGCGTTTTTTGGTGTCTCTTAAGGTTTTTAAAGGCACTGAATGTTCTCCCGCACTCTATGCATTCAAACTTTTTCTTTTTCTTTTTTGTAGAATGATTTTCGTGTTTTGGAAGATCTTGATGACTCTTTAGGTGTCTTTTGAGATTCTTGAATGAACTTAATTTCTGGTCACAATCAGAACATTTGAACTGTTTACCTCGTTTTTTATTAACCTGTTGATTTTCAGTTTTTGGAAGATTTGCATGTGTTTTGCTGTGTCTTTTAAAGTTTTTGAGAGAGGTCAATTTTATTCCACATTCCGGACACTGATATTTTTTACTCAGCCTTTTTGAGGAGGGCTCATTTGGATTACATGTAATTGGGAGGACTTTGTGCTCTTTGGTATGCCTGTTGAGATTTGTGAGAGAGGTTAATTTCAAACCACATTCAGAACACTCAAAAAACTGCCTCTTGGGTTCTTTTTTAATTTTGTTTTCTGTAATAACAACATGAGTTTTTAAATGACTGTAGAAATTTGTTAAATTAATCACTTCCAGATCACAATGTGGACATGTGTATTTCACTGATAACATTGGATTTGTGCTTTGGTGTTCCTGAACATTTGTCACTTCATTGTTGCTCTCAAGGGGTTCAACATTAAACTCTTTGAAACCTTCTTGTTGTTCTTCAGAGTTCGGATTATGGACTTTCTGGAAGTGTTCGTTTAGACTGTTTGAGTCGGGCAGAATTAGTTTACAAAGCTGGCATTCAATAATTCTACATTCGTCTTCTGAGGAACTCTCAGGACATCTAGAAGTGGCTGTATCTTGATTTGTACTATGCCCATCATGAATTTTAAGGTGCCTTCTGAAACTTGCGGAACATTTTGCATCAAAACTGCAGTGAGGACAAGTGTATTTTATTGTAGATTCCACTATAGGAACTGAATTAGTAGCTTTTCTTTGTGTTTTTTGACCAACATCTTTGTTATTCTGTCTGTGTTGTTCAGAGGAGGTCGTACAGGTACTCGATGGATTTTGTTTTTTAGACCTGTGAGTTTTCAGATGTTTCTGGTAAGTTGATAAATAAACCATTTTACGGCCACAATATTCACAGGTGTATTTCACACTAGACTTAGGCTTTCGGGTGTTTGAGTTCTTAGTGGATAATGAAATACTAGGGAGGTTTGATTTTTTAAATTCCTTTCCAGACTTTGATTGTTTGGATTGATCCTCATCCTCATACTCTGGAAGTTCATCAGTCTGCTGAGGAACTGGGTGTTCTTCCATAACAATATTTTGACTAGGGTTCTCTGGCATTTCCGGGTGTTCGTGCTCATTATGCACATAGTTCAAGTGATCCTCTAAGCTTTTTTTATCGGGCAAAACCAATTCACAATACTGACACTGGGTACGATACTCACAGTTTCGACAGTGGCGTAAAAATACGCCAGCCTTATCAAAAGTTTGTCCACAAAATTTGCATGAATAAATTTTTGTCTTTGGCATGTTGGTGGTATCTTCATCAGGTTGTTCGTGTTCGTGATAATCGAAACATACAGTTCGACATTCTGGACAATAAAATGGTCTTCTATGTCCACGAGTTGGTTTCCTGGTGAACGACAGTGTAGGCTCAAAACCTAAACAAGAAGAAAAATAAAATCAAACTTATTACTTGGTCAAAACAAAACATGTCTATTTTCATTAATTTCCAAATTCAAAAAATTAAAACAAACTTTAATTAACAGACATGCACAATGGGTGAGTCATTATGCAAGTAACTGATTGAGTTGTCAAACCCCTAGTCCTAATTTGTTAATCTATACTGAACTATTAAAATAGATAGTGTGCCAGGTTCTGCAAGAAACACAGCGACTGAACTTGTCCTTTTCCATCCTTTGACTTTCGAAAATGAAATGAAATGAAACGAAATGGGATTTAACGTCCTACTGTTCTGCTACTATACTGGGCTAATGAAGACAGGCATACGCCATACAGTTTGCTATGAGGGAAATTTTGCCCGGGCAGCGGCACTATCGCCTACTCTTATATCGAATTCCAACTGCCAGGGGATCTTTTACGTGCATTCTAATGTATACACGGGACCTCAGTTTTTCGTCTCTTCCAAAGGACTAGCCAGCTGTCTTTGTCAGGCCCTCCGTTCTGCACCACTGACATGAAAAACCACGTCGGAAAATCAGGATGAACTTTCTCAGCCAATGCAGGGATCGAACACCCGACCTCCAGGCTAGCGAGCCAGCGTCTTAACCACCTTGCCTCCCCTTTGACTATCGAGTTTAGATACACGCATCATTCCTTCAGACAAAAAAACCAAAAAAAAACGGTTGTCATGCAACAAAACATCCACAGTACTTCTCTAGTCCTACATATAGCGGTCCATACATGTAGTTGCACCAGTAATCAATAGGCTTTTTCGTTTCATGAATGCAAACACTGCAAATATTAATTCAGAGATCAATCCTACGATAACCACATGTACATGTATACATGGATGGTCAACAAGATTCTTTAAAGCAGACAAAGGCAATAATCCCATAAGTAATTATTGGAAATCATTAAAAATAAAGAGGATTCTTCATCCAATGACCATAGTAAACACAACATACAAATGTAAAAGACAACTAAATGATAACTGTAGCCTCTAGAGCCTTCACAAGATATTAATAAAAAGTGATTAAGGGCAGTAATGTCAACAGTAACTAGCGGAAACTGTGAAAATCAATAGCATAAACATTGTACCGTGTATTATATTCAAAGTGACTCGATGAAACAATTATGGTAGTAATTATGAGAAATCGCTGAAGTTCAATACATATAGGCTTATCCTCCAATCATCAGTAACAGATGGACAGACAGACAGGAAGGAAGATACATGTACTATAAAAAGATAACATTAAATTGTGGTTTGACTTTATACCCAGATTGGCTCAGTTCCTTGAGCATCTATCTATATATAACCTATTTTAAAGATAGGCTGCCAGGCAACGAAACATACGCCCACAGCAACTAAATCGTCCGGGCAGTCAACAAGGGTTGTCGCATATTTTTACTTTTTTCGGTAATGAAACATTTATAATACACTAAAATCTGATTAAGAGCAACAACTCACGAAATAATTATCAGAAAACTATTAGAATTTGTTTGGTTTTTATAAAGTTCTGCCCCATGCAAACGTTTTGTATGCAAAGCTTTTAATATCATAGATTTAACTGTTCAAGTCATAAAAATTCATTGAAAATCAATATACTTGTTCGTCTCAAGATCTTAAACTTTGGCAGTAATTATCGGAAATCGTTGAAAATCAATAGGAATCTTCGTCTCATGACCCCAAACACTGTGTATAAATTTAAACTCAATCGGATATTAACTTGAGCCTCAAGAGCATCCACAAGATTTTTTGAAGTGATCAAGGGCCATAACTCTGGCAGTAATTATCGGAAATCGCTGAAAATCAATAGGCTTCTTCGTCTCATGACCTTAAACACTGTGTATACATTGAAAGTCAATCGGATATTAACTTTGGCCTCTAGAGCATCCACAAGATTTTTCAAAGTGATCAAGGGCCATAACTCTGGCAGCAAATATTGGAAATCGCTGAAAATCAATAGGCTTCTTTGTCTCAAGACCTTAAACACTGTGTATAAATTTAAAGAAATTGTGGACGCCGGACCGACGGACGGGGGCGACGACAATATACGACCACATTTCAATGTGGGTGTATAAAAAGGACAAGAATTAATTTTGTATTGTTTGCCTTTTAATTTCAGTATAAGTATAAGACGGGCATATGCCATGCAGTGTGTTACTTGGGAAACTCTGCCTAGACAGCTGCATGTGGCCTACTCTTACATGTAATTGAAATCCTAACTGTCAATAAGTTCTTTTATGTGCAGGCACACGTCAATGTATACATGCCAACACAGGGCCTCGATTTTCAGTCCCATCCAAACAACTAGATGATGCTGTTCCTTGGGCAGACCCTCCACCCTGCAACACTGACAAGAGGAATTTACAAGTACAGTAACTTTAAAACATCCCACCTTAAAACACAAGTGCATGACTGTTTATATAGTACATGTATACTGTATATTAATCTTAAAATCCCCACACAACTGCAGTACAAAAACAGACTTAAATGAGAGGTGGTTTATTCACTTTCATAGCGTTTAAAATATCTTTTACTTTCTGCGCTCTCCGCTGGCATCATAATTCGATCCAGTAGCTACATGTACATAGAACTACCGCTGGTCCAGCCACTGTTAGTCTTTTAAGGATGCGTGGCCATCACCCCCCCCCACTCTATTCCTGTATATTAATCTATTAAATTGTTTTCCTGTTTATCCATCTTTAATTAAATCTTATCATTGTTAGAATTGTATTTTTAACATCTTCGGCTAAAGCTGATGATCATTAATTGTAATTTTCAGACAATACATATACAGGTATCTAATTTTTATCGGATTGATTATTCAACAATTAAATAAGAAAACCAAAATAGATAATCTTCCGGATTAAAAACAGACAAATGAAATGATATTAGTATTATTAGCCAGCACTTACATGTGGTGCTACATGTACATCTAGTCATCTACATTTATTGCTTATTTAGATTATATAGTCTGCAGAATATTACCAAATTATCTTTATAAATACTGAATGGAATTGAACCATTTTTAGACTGCTTCATACTTTTAGAAATTCAGCTTCCGACATTTTTGCAAACGGATTCAAAACCCTTCAAATGACGATCAGTAGGTTTAATTTTAAATTACTATAATAAACATACAAATGTTTATTACATGTATGATATCCATCAAAAAAAAAAAATTCCAGATGAATAGTGCAACTACATGTATACAAAATACTGGTACATTTATTGCAAATACTTACCACCCTCAGTTTCATTAGCTATAGAACTGAAATTAGAAGACGGGAGTGGTTCATCATAAGTCAGACTTGGTGCATCACAGGAAGGGGTTGGTGCATCACAAATGATTGGTCCATCGTTTATTGGACTATTTTCACCTTCACAATATCCTAGATCAGATTCTTCTTCCTCTCGAGCGGCATATCTATTTTGCATTATACCTAGAGGTCCACAAACGGATTCAGTTCCCGTTCCACTCAAGCCAGGTAAATGTTGATAAGAACTACATGATGAGTTATCATCTTCGATGGACACGCCCACAATAACACAATCCTCCTCCTCATTATTTCTATTGCTAGTTTTAGTGATTGCTGACTGGGACTGAATTTGATTATGGCTATTGGATGGACCACCTCCCCAATATATACTGGGTATATTCGTTCTGTGATCTTTGAGTCCAGTGCCATCATCATCTATAACAATGCAAGACTCGCTTTCAGGAACTCTATAACCGGCAGGTGGAGGACTGGATATCTGATTAATGGATATGGGTACGACATCTGCATAGTCTATATAAACAAAGGATTCGTCACAAGACATATCTAATGTTTATTTACTGCTGTAAATATCTCAATTTTAACTGCCCAACATTACCATTCATTCTAATCCGGTAGTAATCAGCTTTCATCTATAAAAAATAAATTAAAGAAAAAATGAAAGGGATACAAACAAAGACTGATGAATTATAACAGTTAGAGATCTACATGCATCTAAATTTAACTTCTCCCTCTTCCTATTCAGTTTCATCTATAAACATAAGATAGGTTGCTAGCCAACGAAACATACATGTACGCCCACAGCAGTTAAATCGACTAAGTGGTCGACAAGGGCTGTTGCATATTTATTCGTTTGTACTGTAGGTAATTGGGGGCATTTACAAGTCATTTCAGGTTTCACAAGGTTTTACAAACTGAAACAAGAGCCTGGAAGTAATTTACAGAAATTGTTGAAATTTGACAGGCTTTTTAATTTTACTAATTTAAATATTAAATAATGCATATAAATTTCATACAGATTGGATGATGTAAAACAAGGACCATAACTTTAGACGTATATGACGGAAATTGCTGAAATTTACACAAATTGTTAAAATTCAATAGGCTTCTCCATTTACCGAATTAAAATGATGCATATAATATAAATTGTACATAATGGAGAATAACTTTGTTGCACTAATTAAGTGCATGGAATCAGGGCATGGAAATCTCAACTAGAAGGTCTCGGAATCGAATCCCAGCTGGGCTGGGTAGACGCTTAGGGATAATTGAAGCTTAGCCTTCACTTGCCATTATGTTTATATTTTCTGAAAGTGAAACATTGTAGATTCTGGAGAGAGAGAGAGAAAGAAATGGGGTTTAACATCCACCTGACACAAACTAGGTCATTTTGGGACTAACACATGGTTCAAGTTTACTTCAATAATTTGCTTTCGCGTAGGGGTCTTTAGTAGGTGGAGGTAACTGGAGGACCTGGAGAAAACCCACGAGGTTGGACAGACGGCCCTACTTTACGTAAAACCGGGGAATCAAAACCCTGCCAGTTGGCTCAATGACAGACTGCATGATACAGCGCGCACGTGCTAACCATTTGGCCATCCAACCCCCCCCCCCCCCCCTGTAGATTCTGGAAGACAGCAAAGTTGCAGGTTTTATATATATATGTGACATACATTAGATTGCAGGACAATAGCTTTCACAATTGGTGACCCAGACATTTTAATTAAAAGGGCACATAAAATGGCCAAACACAATTATAAACTTTACAACAATTTCACAACAATATGATTAAATAGAGAATCTCCTACCAGTCTTTTTTGATATCAAAAAATATCAACACAAGTTGATAAAGTAACAAAAACGAGGCTCTGCCGAGTTTTTTTTTACTTTATCAACGAGTGTTGATATTTTTTTTATATCAAAAAAGACGAGTAGGAGATTTTATTTATCACCCAATCCCTTCTTACATGCACAAATAGATAAATATAATTCTTTGCTGTAGATTTCACTTTTACTGAACATTACGGCGTAGTGATACATCATTTTTTGACAGCAATTCAACCATTGCAAAGACCTTTATATTGACCCAGTGTTTCCATCAAGGTCAATTGAATAACAATAGTTCATTTTTAATAAAAAAAAAAAGTTACTTTTAATAAGAAATGAACTGTTCTTTGAAAATAAAAAAAAGTAGTTCCTTTTCAATTGACCAATCAAATTCATATAAGGAGATATCGCAGTAGATTATGAAATATATCACACAAGCGATATCTACTGTAGAATGTATTATTGGGGGATAAAATTATTTGTTATATTGACATTTACGTGCCAAAAATGCTCTTAAACACTTTTCAATTTTTCGATATAGGCCTACACTAATGTTTATTGACTATTAAATTCATATACTGACTGAAATAATCATTACCGAAGGTACAAATAAGCAAACATATGGTTCAATTTTATTTCAATAATTCGCTTGTGCATAAGGGTCTTTTGACTTTAGCAGTGAGAGGAAAATGGAGGAACCGGGGAAAACCCATGAGGTTGGACAGGCGACCCTACTCCTTGTCACATACAACCGGGGAATTGAAACCCCACCAGTTGATTTAATGACAGACCTTATGATACAATGCGCACGCACTAACCATTCGGCCATCCAACCCCCCTATAACTCGAGGAGCAGACGTAAAATAAAGCTATTTCACACACATTACCTTTCTTGTCTTGAATTGTTATGGATTACAAACTTGAGACTGGAAAATTTTTAATTGAATTTTAAAATGGTGCTTTATCTTTGTATTATTGCGAGATGTGGAAATTCAAGCAAACAAAAGAAACATGATGGGCCTTTTTTCTGATACACAGCAGAATCTAGTCAATTTTTGTTCATATGCTTCAATTAACATATTTGACTCTTTAACTAATCAATACCTATTCCCAATCTATTGTATAATATACGTAAATCAAAAAGTTTATATAGAATGAATCAAGCTCCACTGGGGCTCATTAAGTTGGTTTTCCAAAACTTGTGCCTTTTTCGCAAAATGAGCCAATCCGATATTCAATTGTAACGTATGTCAGATAAACCGGATTTTAATTCAGTCATGTGACAAAGACAACAGAACACATGTACGGCTGTGGCGACTTCTTTGATGATTTACAAAAATTGAATGCCCAATCAACAATCTTAATCCCCAGATGATAATTAATCTATTGCTTGTTGAGGTTAACAGATGAACTTAATTCCAATAACCAGTTATAATAAGTAATTGTATGGAGAAAGTGTAATATCCTTTTTGTATTGATTCGTTTGAAATTATAACCATGTGTGAATGTGTGATTTGAAATTATGCAATAGAGGAATGTGTGGGATAAGAGGGTTGTGCAATAATAAATTTTCACCCAACTTGTTGGTTTAATCGGAAGCCTATTATTGTAGGTGTACTGTTGGCTTAGGTTACTTGATTTTTGGGGGGGATTTTTGATCAAAAGAAAAGGGACGGACAAATTCTAAATAGGATCCAAAATTAAAGCACAATTTATAGAGACTATGTTAAGTACTCTCGCTCATTTCATATAAAACAAATTATTCCATAGTTAAATTAATGGCGTTTCATTTACATTGTTCACTTAAATATCAAATTTTTCATGGCTTAATCCATGCTAAATTATAGTAGCTAAGTCTCTAACTCAATATCATCAAAAGTTTTCGACATTGCAAACACAAATTATTTGTCAATTTATATCAACATTGATGTTGTGATCTTACCGGGAAAAGATGGGTTTCTGATATCCAATATTTACATTTTACCATAATGTGTTTCAGCGTCATGTGTAGCAAGGGATTCAAAGAACGAGGCTAGACATATTCCACAAGTCATGAGAAACGGTGACACAATTTAATGGCATATTCCTATCTGGAGAGCATTCGCAATAAATACTATCAGTGTAGACCGGAATAACCAGACGCTAGAGATTGCCATTCGACTGAGACTTCTGGCATATTTCGCCGGACAGAACTGTTTAGAAATTACAGTAAAAACAGAAATGATTGAATGTAAATTATTTATATATTTATAAAACATTATTATATTATGCGTTGCGACCCATTTGTGTCAATTTCTAGGTCCCAAATATTAACGATTTGGCTCCTTAAATTATTTAATATTTAAAAGAAAACAAAATCAAAATATCAATGATATGCTTGAGAGTAGAATAATGTCCTGGGATTAAAGCAGGCCTATCATCAATGGCATCTGCCAACCTGTTTAGCACTAGCAGAAGGGGACGTATTTTCAACAGCATGTTGTGTCGCACATACTGACTGTAGCGAGGTAAGCAAGGTCTTATTTTCTCACTGAAATGTTCTCTTACATTGTACAGGCGTTCACAGTGACTGGCCTATGCAGTAAAAAGTTGCCCAGTAAAATTAACTGGGAATCGAAAGTATTTCGACAAGGAGTAAGGACAAGGTCAACGATTCAATAGGACGGTTCCTGAACGTACAGGGCGAGTGTTATAAGATCTACGTTCAGAGCTGAACTACTCCTGGACATGCCAAACAATAAGCTCACACATCACCCCTCTATTATCTGCCTTTAAACTAACTATACGGCCGTACTAATAACATATGTGTATACTGTAAAAATTGGCTGCAATAGCAATACACGTATCCTACATTAGACTTTAGTGTCATTACTGCAGACGAACTGCAGACACATGGCGCGATGGCGCGTATACTTACTTCACGAACTAACCTGGGTCAATTAACACCGTATGCTAGCAATAGACATTCAGCTATCATCGATACTAACAATTTAGCTGACAACGCGTTCGATTCAGTGCAACATGAGCTACAACAAAAATATGAAACGTCAACAAACAGACGATATTCTTTCTGGAACGCAAACATGGCGGCCTCCATCCACCACTTCCGGTTGGACTCACGCCACAATAAAATACTTTGATCCACTCGCTTAGACTGGCCGAAATACGGTTATAACTTACTTTTCTGCACCGACTGGAATAAGGAAGGCGAGCATACCACATAATGTGGCATCAGGGAAATTTGACCCCAACAGCGGCGCTACTTGACTAATAAACTCGTAGGCTATTTCAAATTCCAACTGTCAATGCGGTTTTACGTGCAACCCAATATCTACACGGAACCAGATTTTTGTGCCATCCGATCCGATCGACTAGACACTGGCGGGGGTAGGCCCTACTGGACCGGCCATGGAGCGATGATGATCATGTTGTGGCCGGTGGCTTTAACGGGCCGCCACGCCATCACTGGAGTCTGGAATGAGCTGGCCGGTATAATAGACTTTCTGGGCCGGGTGTGCTGGGTGTGGGCCGGAATTCGGAATCTTGCAATGGGGATTCCAAATTTCATCCGAAAATTTCATCGGATTCACCCGACACTGTCGCCCGCAAATTTACTAATTATTAAGTCACCTGCACACTGTTTGTGGGGATACGCCAGAAACGTCTGCCAATGGTTCGTATATCCCAAAAAAAATCAATTTTAAGTCCTCAGCAAAATTTGGTGATAGCTGGTCTGCTGGCTGAATTTGACAGATATTATAATCAGATATGCCACCAAATCGCATATTTGGGGTTCATTTTTCAAAATGTTCCCGCGGGAGAGCACCCGGACCCCCCCCCCCCCCCAACCGTCCGGGCTCCGCGGCCAGTAAAAGGGGCCGTTCCGACACGGGAGCCCGGGCCGGTTCCCGACCCCAATCCGCCCCCGTTTAGCATTGGGTTATAGAAAACCACGCGATTAGTCAGGCGATGCCACACCGTGTCACGTGCAAGCTTGTTATCGAAACCACGCCACTTCATGCAGTGACACACCTTGTGATCTAATGCACACGCTTTACACCACTCAACTACTCGCCCTAACCCCTCCCCCGCAATATGCATGTATAAATATAAATTTTCCTTGTAGACGAGTGGTTGATTGGAGAATGTCCCGAGTTCGAACCCTGGCGTGATTTCAGCCTATTCGTGGGTCTTTTTGTGGGGCGCACCAGCGAAGTGTTCTGATGGGACTAAAACCCGATTTCTGCAAAGAGTCCAATACATTTTGGTAATTATCCAGAACAGAGAGTACGGCAGCTTTCCGAGTGAGCCATCTCGTCGGACATATTGGTTTCGTGGACGTCGGTCTGATGTTGTCGCCATCATGATAAAGATTTCTTGAATACAGTCGAGGGCGTCCCTGATGAAAACAGCTTCACTGACGGCATAAGAAGTAACTAAATGCGTGACATGGGCACCACAATGAGTATAGAGAGCAAGGGGCTGTGATTGTTTGAAAAGTGCCTGACAACCTTGGAAGCGACCTGACATGTTACTGGCGCCATCATAAATTTGGGCACGTATTTGGGTTAACGGTAAGGTCAACCGATCTGCAGATCTGCAAGCGCAGAACCGGTTGTAGATTCGGTCGAATATAATCCAATGAAATCCTCCTTGATCTGTAAATCGTCGGTGGTGTATCGGATACATATCGTCTCCTGTTCATTTCCTGAGATGTCTTGCGTGCCGTCCACAATTACACCAAACTGAACTGATTCAGCTTTTACCTTTTTAACGATTTGTCGCAAAATTTTATGGCTCACGATTCCAAGGATCTCATTGGCAACATCATGGCTTGTGTAGTTAGTGGTTCTTTTCAGCCACCTTGATAGGATTTAATCGTCCTCTGCCCGCAAGGAAAGAAGGCTCTTGCATTTCCCCTCGTCATATTCTTTTCCGCGAAGAGCAATGCCTTCGCTGGCCAGATATTTTATCGTAGTTATTATTTTCAGCATTGCATTTCTGGCATTAGTCTGGTCAGATGACAGCTGCTCGTCCAGATGACACCGTATATCCCTTTTGCTGAGATTAGCGCGCTTCAGACGGGCATCTCGGTGAACATCAGATATTTCATGGGCATGGAATTTTTCTATGGCTTTTTTCCAGTTCGCGAACCCCTCCACCCTAAACGCAGTTTCCTTCCGGTAATGTGATGGATTCAAAAGACCCTTATTTACTGCATCCATGCACACGAAACAGAAAACTTTTCCTGATCGTTCATCGCAATGTAGCCAAGATCGCCCCTGATACCATTTGGTCTGGAACTTCAAAGTCCGGGTACCACAGAGCTGCAACACCATAAAGTCTACATGTTTCGGTTGATTCGTGCATTGAAAAGAAATATGTTCATTTACCTCACTCGTTTCAGTTCGGTTCTCTTCGGAAACACTGACACTGGTACTGGGCACGGAGTCAACTTGAGGCGTCGACTCTGTTCCAGGTAGTTCATTTTTCTTCGCGAAATAACTAGAAATTTTCTTCATATTATGTACACAATGAGCAGTTCAGTAACTAAATAACATTCGATGTAAAATCAAGGAAAACCTCATCTGGTCAATATCTCAGTATATGATTATACCTCAATTCAATTCAAAAATTACGAATAAACTTTTGCAGTCCACTCAATCATCCCACCGTCCGTCTGGCCAGACCACTGAACAATTAACACAGACATTTTCTGATTTCTTCGACCAAAAGGTATCTTCTATTAGAGATCAACTTGATAATGACCAACCAGGCTTAAACCAACCGGACGAAACATTTACTGGGCACTTGCTCAATCACTTTAAACCCGTTTCTGAAGCTGAAATAAAGATACTGATTTCTTTTTCGACACCAAAATCCTGCTCCTTGGATCCTATTCCAACCTGGCTACTCAAGACCTGTTTAGATGATTTACTACCTGTGATTACAGCGATCGTCAATACATCCCTGTCAACATCTGAAGTCTCACCAGTCTGCACTAGTTAACCCACTTCTGAAAAAACCAACACTTGACCCTAACATTTTAAAGAATTATAGACCCGTCTCCAATCTGTCATTTATTTCAAAATTGGTTGAAAAGGTTGTAGCTGAACAGTTTTGTCATCATCTAGAAGAAAATTGTCTAGGGGCTAAATTCCAGTCAGCCTATCGAAAATGTCACAGCACTGAATCTGCATTAGTACGTGTATACAATGATGTCGTCTCCTCTATTGACAACAACAGAACCATTGCCCTAGTCCTGTTGGATTTGAGCGCAGCGTTCGACACGATTGATCAGTCGGTGCTACTTAAACGTCTATCTTCCAGACTCGGTGTTAATGGTGCTGCACTAGATTGGTTTCAGTCCTATCTTACTGGTAGGAAGCAAGAGGTTATCGTTGACAGCATAAGATCTAAGCCAAAATGTCTCCGCTACGGCGTCCCACAAGGATCAGTACTCGGCCCACTGCTGTTTACTTCCTACACTACACCAGTTGCTGACATAATGCGAAACTGGAGGCATGTATAGAAGACCTTCGTAACTGGATGAAGTCCAACTTCCTCAAGCTAAATGATGACAAAACGGAGGCTATCTTCTTTTCAAAAACAAAACTGTCTTTGCACAACTCTGTGCTGGTTGGTGATGTACACATTGAAACTACAAACTGTGTCCGTAATCTTGGAGTGCTCTTGGATAAAAATTTGAAAATGAAACGACATGTTTCTACCATCTGCAAGAAAGCGAACTTCCATCTCTATAGGATCGGCAGAATCAGAAACTTTTTAGACATTGATACTACAAAATTGCTCATTATTGCCTTCGTAACATCTACACTAGACTACTCAAATTCACTTCTTTACGGTTTACCATCAAATCTCATCCACCAACTACAGTCTATTCAAAATAAAGCAGCCCGAATTATCACAAAAACCAACATTAGAGAACACATAACTCCAATCCTTGCAGATCTACACTGGCTACCTATAAATTACAGAATATGTTTCAAAATCAACACCCTCACCTATAACTGCCTCAACAATCCTAATTCTCCGGAATACCTTAAAGATCTAATCCATCTATACATTCCCCAACGTTCCCTCCGGTCATCAAATCAACTACAACTCAAAACACACAAAACAAACACAAAATTTGGAGAAAGAGCTTTCTGTTTCGCCTCCCCCCAAGAATGGAATAAATTGCCCCTTTCCATTAAACAAAGTTGTTCTGCCTCAAGTTTTAAGAAGAATCTCAAAACACACTATTTTAATATGGCTTTTAATCAGTGATTTAAATGTTTCTATAGTGCTATTAATAATTAACTTTTTAAACTCAGTTTTACTTTTAAATTTTAAGGAGTGTTTTAAGTTATTAATTTGTGCGCCACTGAGCAGTTCTACTGAATGTACCAGCGCTATACAAGATGGATTATTATTATTATTATTATTATTATTATTATGAACTACGACCAACGATGCGTATGGCGCTTTATGACCACGTCCACCAGGGCCGGAGAACCACTCTATCCAATAGTTTTTGATTGGGGGTTGCCGACAGGCGGGCACGATTAAAATGGGCAATTTTTGTTCATTCAAATAATTTGAATTTGAGTATAATGTTTTATCTTCAAATCAACAAACAGACGTGGCTTACAGACACATAAAAGTATTTCTTATTATCTGAAAACGTATAAAAAACCTTGGCTAAGTAACTAATTGAGAGATTGACAGTACTATTAAAACATGGTAAATAAAACACTGAACAATTATTAATCGAAATATGACAATAATATACATAATTATAAGTTTAAATACCTCAAAATTTGTGTGAATGTCTAACTTCTCAATCGCCCAATCGACAAAACAAGTATGACTTAAAATATTATAATGCGCATGTATTAATTAGAACAAAGGAACAATTATTATAACACAGGATATATGTGAAACCTAATATAGAATTAATCAGTGTACCGACCAAGTATAAAACATGATAATGTTAAATAATGTAAAGTTCAATCTGTTCACAACAGGGTCACATTCCACAAGGTGATATCTGACTGATTCTTAGACCCAGTTCTAATGTATCGTGAAGATCAGTAACTATGGCGAGACCCAATTTAGTGGTTAGATAGCCTTCAGAACGGGACATTCATGTGGATATAAACCTGTTCTGGCGATCAAAATCATGGGGGGGGGGGACTGAGACCTATTCGTCCCCCCCCCCCTTCCGATTCTAAGGGGGGAGGGGCGTCCCCCCCCCCGTCCCATACACACATGCGTCTTTGATTTTATTTATTAGATTGTACTGTGTTCTTTCCATTTCATACAAACATTTTTTATCTACGATAGCAGGATATTTTTGTTTACATTCGTTGAACTTTTCAATCGACATTATAAACATTTTATCAAATGACGTGTACTTCATTTGCAGCCGCTCTGCGTTCACTCCGGGTGTTTTTTTCCGATGCGTTTTACCCTTGCCAGTGGTGCAGGACGGAGGCCTGACAAGGAACAGTGTCTAGTCGTTCGGGTGGAACGAAAAGCCGAGGAGTCGTGTACACATTGGCGTTGACATAAAAGAACCCTTCTTATTTGGAAATGGAAATAAGAGTAAACCATAGTACCGCTGTCCGGTCAAAATCTCCCTCATAGAAGACTGTCCGTCTTCATTTTCCAAGTCGGTGCAGAAAAGTAAGACGTTCAACCCCACTTCATTTTATTCATATTTCTTATGTACACTTAAAACTGGATTTATTCTGAGAAATATTATCAAATATACACATAGATGTATAAATTAGTTGGATGAAGGTATATAGGTGGAATGGTGTTTAACGTCCTTCAGAGTGCTATGAGGGTAATTTTGCACAGGCAAGGACGTTTCCACCTAGACTTTATCGAATGGTTTCCCGTTTCATCTAAACGATCCACTAGACGCTTTTCCTGACCAGGTTCTATGTCCAGCACAACTGACCAAGGACAATTCAGACCGGAAAATCACGGTGAACTTTCTTGGGCAACACCGGAATCGAGCCTGTTTAGTGAGCCAATGCCAGGAATATTTAGCCGTGGTTCCCATAAAGTATACAAACTATTCTTGCCTTGGGTCTCATCCAGGGCCTTTAACGAGCCTTTCCCGACCCATCTTTAATGGCTTCTAGAGTTTGTTAAGACATTATTTTTCGATCGGATATAACAAGTATTCCACGGATTTCATTTTTATAAATATTGGTAATAATAAATTTCCGCGACCATAAACACTGGATGAAATAATTCGTCGATTCAGGTCGAGTTTGACGATGGACTGTTTAACTGTGCATACAACTGATGTTAAGATAATTTACTATTTCTGATATTTGATAAGTAGATGATATAAAGCACATGTCAAAAGGTACATTATAGATTTAAAAAAATAGAGAACGAAGGACGAAGTCTTTGCTTTTTACTTTCCATGTACTTTGCTGATTTTCGCCTCCGATGATATGCGACCAGAACCAGGAGCTTTCCTCGGTTCCAACTTTCCTTCACCGGTTCATCCAGAGGTGCATACACCAAATCTAGATGCATTAGCCGCTAAAAGTCTGCTGCTGAAACGGTCTTACGTTCAACAGGCTGTCTGTTCTACTTCCAGAACATCTTTATTAATAGGTCGGCGACCATATACAACACACGTTTACGACCTCATCCATTATTTTAGAAACGTTGGAGGCAATTATACAACAATTCCCGAGTTTTTCAAAAATAATGGATATAAGGTCATTGGAATGGGTAAGATTTTTCCATCCAGGGGCACCTTCCGGATTTGATGATCCCGTATCCTGGACGGACCCATACTACCAAGCCCCGGATACAAAATTTAAGTTCATGCAACAGAGCTGGCGTGCTGTTTCTAAGGATGAATATACAATTCGGCCACTTCTAGATATGCAAGTCAAAGAACAGGCAAAAAGGATACTCCGGGAAGTAGCACCAGGTGCAAACAGTGGACAGCAAAATATCTTTGTAGCAGTCGGTTTCCATAAGCCACATCTGCCTTTTATTTTTCCTGAAGAGTTTTTAGCCTTTTACCCACGGGGAACATCAGGTTAACTGGTAATCAGTACGCCCCAGTTGACATGCCGGAAGTGGCTTGGGTCGATTATATTACGGAAGAGCTAGGAGCTTATACGGACATTCAACATGTTTATCCATCGGGTGCGATTAACAGCACATTGCCTGATGAGGTAGTGATTGGTTTAAGAAGGGCATACTATTGCGCCGTCTTTTATACCGATTCGCTGATAGGCGAAGTTATGGCGGAGCTTGAGAGTTAAGGGCTCGCTGAAAACACCATTGTATCTTTCTGGGGTGACCATGGTTGGCAGATCGGTGAACATGAGGAATGGTGTAAACATACTAACTTTGAAGATGCAACCCATGTTACTATGATGGTTAGTGTCCCAGGACGTACGGATAAAGGCGTTGTAACAGAAATATTAACATAATTTGTTGACCTATTTCCAACCCTTGTAGAAGCAGTCGGCTTCGATCCATTACCACTTTGTCCTGTGGATTCAACCAGAACAGCTCTCTATCGAAGGAACGAGCATGTTACCTTTGATGAAGGATCCTACCAGAGAATGGAAAACTGGAGCATTCCCCAATATCTGCGCAATAATTACACTGTGATGGGATATACTTTAAGCACTGACAAATACAGATACACTGAATGGCCAGAATTTACCATGGCACCTGATTACAACCGAACTGGAACAAACTTTATAGTGTTGAACTTTATGATCATTCTATTGATCCGGAAGAGAATTATAACAGATATAAGGATCCTCAATACTAAACTGTAGTCACTGAACTTAGTTCTCAGCTTAGAAAAGGTTGGAGATATAGTCAGCCACCCAGCGTCATGGCTGCACAATGATCCCAGGTACAGTTCTAAGTTTATAAATAAATATAACTAGCATCCCAGTTCATTAATACAATTATTTTTTTTTCTTTTGAGATATGTAATAAAATTGTTCCGTCAAAGGATATGAAATTGTTTTGAATGTACCCTATTGCCGCTTGACGATTTCTATTAGGGGACAAATTTTCTGTGAAAATTGATTATATCAGTAGCGTGCAAAGGCCTGGTGATGCCCTGAGCCAACTCCTGATCATATCTGATTATATGTCCCGAGAGTCAAGTATAGGGCCCTAGTTTGAGCGAGATAGAGCAATATTAATTACCACACTACCATACTGAAAAAAAAACAGTTGTATCATTTACTCTTGATAAGTTGACTATATAAATCCCATATCATTTGGTGCATATCAGATTAAATAAAAGAGAGCGAGGACACTATTGTTCATTGTGTGACACATCAACGATGATGTTGTTGACGGTCAATTTCCCTGTGCGTCCAGAACTAGGAGCTTACCTGGGTCCCGATTTTCCTTCCCAGTTCATCCAGAGGTGCATACACCTAATCTAGATGCATTAGCCGCTAAACGTCTGCTGCTGAAACAGTCTTACGTTCAACAGGCTGTCTGTTCTCCTTCCAGAACATCTTTATTATCAGGGCGACTACCAAATACAACCCACGTTTACGACCTCATCCATTATTTTCGAAACATTGGAGGTAATTATACAACAATTCCCGAGTTCTTCAAAACTAATGGATACAGGACAATCGGAATGGGTAAGATATTCCACCTGGGAACAGCTTCAGATAATGATGATCCGATATCGTGGACGGACCCGTACTACCATGCCCAGGATGCAAAATTTAAGTTTAGGCAGCAGAGTTGGCGTGCCGTCGCTAGAGACGAATATACTATACGACCACTGCCTGACATGCAGATAAAAGACCATGTCATTAAGATACTCCGAGATGTAGCACCTGCTGCAAACAGCGGACACATTTGTTTTGTCGCTGTTGGTATCTTTAAACCTCAGTTGCTTTTATTTTCCCCGAAGAATTCCTATCTCTTTACCCGAAAGCGAACATCAAGTTACCTGATAATCGGTACGCCCCAGTTGACAACATGCCGGAAGTGGCGTGGGTTGATTATATTACGGAAGAACTGGGTAATTATGACGATATAAAACATGTTTATCCCTCGGGTGCGATTAATAGCACATTGTCTGATGAGGTCGTGATTGGTCTTGAAAGAGGATATTATTCCACCGTCTCTTACAGTGTATGTTGATTCCGAGAAGTTAAGGCGGAACTGGAAAGTCTGGGACTCGCTGGAAACACCATTGTATCTTACTGGGGTGACCATGGTTTGGCAGCTCGGTGAACTTGGGGAATGGTATAAACATACTAACTTTGAAGATGCAACCCATGCTCCTATGATGGTTAGTGTACCGGGATTACAGATAAAGGTGTTGTAACAGAAAGACCTACAGAATTTGTTGACCTATTTCCAACCCTTGTAGAAGCAGCTGGCTTCGATCCATTACCACATTGTCCTGCGGGTTCAACCAGAAGAGCCCTCTGTACCGAAGGAACAAGCATGGTACCTTTGATGAAGGATCCAACCAGAGAATGGAAAACTGGGGCCTTCTCCCAATATCCACGTAATAATTACACAAATACAGATACACAAAATGGCCAGAATTTACCATGGCACCTGATTACAAACCCAACTGGAACGAACTTTATAGTGTTGAACTTTATGATCATTCTATTGATCTGGAAGAGAATTATAACAGATATAAGGATCCTCAATACCAAACTATAGTCACTGAACTTAGTTCTCAGCTTAGAAAAGGTTGGAGATATAGTCAGCCACCCAGCGTCATGCATTCTCCTTGAACATATAGTATATTCTTTTGGCATAACAGAATGAAAGATATTAGTAATGAACAGTGTTTCTCGTTGTATAAAGGAAAGTGTTGGCAGGGTTTGAGTTCTCATGGGAGCCGCGGCGGCCCAGTGAGTAAAAGGCTGGCACGCTAGCAAGGAGGACTCGGGCTCGCTCCCGGTGTTGGACGAGAACGTTTCTCGGGTTTTCTCCCGTAGTTTCCCCCTTGTCAGTGGTGCAGAACGGAGGTACACATTACCTACACGTAAAATAACCCTTGACAATTCGACATCGGAATACGATTTGCCGTAGCTCCGATGTCAGGGAAAATTTTCCCTTGTAGGACATTGCATGGGGTATGCCCGTCTTCAATACCCCAGTTAGTGCAGAAACGTTAAATACTATATCATTTCGGGGGTTGGGTGGCAGAATTGTTTAACGTGTCCGCGTTAGATCACAAGATCTGCCATTGAGTCACGTGACGTGGTTTCGATTCCCCGTTGGTACGTTACAAGGAGTAAGGTCACCTGTCCAACCTCGTGTGATTTCTCCGGGGCCTCCGATTTCCTCCCACAGCTAAAGACCCCTACGCGCAAGCGAATTATTGAAATAAAATTGATCCATGTGCTATAGTCCCGAAATGACCTAGTGTCAGGTGGATGTTAAACTCTATTTCTCTCTCCATATCATTCCATTTCTGATTTCTTCTCCAGCGGCTTGATTTTTTCGAACAATCTTTTCTCCTTCATCCCGATATACATTAAGTTATAAGCTAGCTGTCTGTCCTTCAGAGGTTATGTATTCTGGTTAAAGTACACACGACATTCAGGAGTTAATCAATATTCCATTAACTGTTAGCTGTTAAATGTCTATTGTACAGCCACTCTCACCCTTCTCCCTGTCTATAATCTTACTATCTGAAGCACCCGTTTGGTTTCTAAAATTCTTAAAGGAATGTTTCCGTGGCATAAAAAAATTCCTAAACGCCAGTTATAATAATTCTGTAATGTTATACTAATTCGTGGAGTCAGTACAGATACAAGCCCCAACAATTGAGCTAAATCAACGAATGACATGGAATGGAGTTTTCTGGCAAGTAGTAGTAGGATGTTAAACCCATTTCATTGTATGACCCTTAGCGTCACCGGGCTACACTTATGGTGGTCGCAATGATATTTATATGCATAAATAAAATGAATAAAATTAAAAATAATTACCCGGTATCAAAATAATTTATATAAATATGTAAAATGAAAGGAGATCGGTCAGAAAATCAGTAAAAACTTTTAACAATTCCTCCATTGCTAACTTTGATCTATATCGCAGAGAGAGAGAGAGAGAGAGAGAGAGAGACTGTACTCCTTGTCGCGTATAAATTTGCACCCGTTATACCATTCGACCCCCACCCTCTACCGAACCCTTGGGGTTTAACGTCCACTCGATACAAACTAGGACATTTCGGGACTAACATAAGGTTTCAGTTTTATTATAATTTTCTTCCGGTTCAATAGAATGTGTATCTGCATTTGTCAGTTTTTAAAGTATATCCCATCACAGTGTAATTTTTACGTGGATATTGGGAGAATGCTCCAGTTTTCCACTCTCTGGTTGGATCTTTCATCAAAGGTAACATGCTCGTTCCTTCGGTACAGAAAGCTGTTCTGGTTGAATCCACAGGACAAAGAGGTAATGGATCGAAGCCGGCTGCTTCTACAAGGGTTGGAAATAGATCAACAAATTATGTAAGTCTTTCTGTTACAACATAGTAGCATGGGTTGCATCTTCAAAGTTAGTAGCCCATTATCCATGTTCTCCGAGCTGCCAACCATGGTCGCCCCAGAAAGACACAATGGTGTTCCCTGCGAGTCCCAAGTTCTCAAGCTCTGCCACAACTTCTATCAGGGAGTCAATATAAGAGACCGCGCAATAATATACTCTTCTGAGATCAATCACTTTGTAATCAGGCAATGTGCTGTTAATCGCTCCTGAAGGATGTAATTGTAATATATCCTCAAAAGTTGCTAATAGTTCGCCGTCTGTAATATAATTAATCCAAGCCACTTCTGGCATATAAACTGGGGCGTACGGGTTGTCGGGCAACTGGATGTTCTGTCGTGAGTAAAGCGATAGAAATTCTGCAGGGAAAATAAAAGGCGTATGCGGCTTATGGAAACCAACTGCGACAAAGAAATTTTGCTGTCCATGTTTTGCAGCTGGTGCTACTTCTCGGAGCATCTTTATGGCCTGGTCCTTTATTTGCATGTCTTCCAGTGGTCGTATTTCATATTCATCTTTCGAAACGGCACGCCAACTATGCAGCCAAGATCGGAACTTTATATCCGGGGCATGATAGTAAGCGTCCGTCCAGGACATGGGATCATCATTATCTAAGGCTAATTGCCCTGCGGATGGAATAACTTACCCATTCCGATTGTGCTGTATCCATTATTCTTAAAGAACTCGGGAAGTGTTCTATAATTACCTCCAATGTTTCGAAAATAATGGATGAGGTCGTAAACGTGGGTTGTGTCAGGTCGAGGTTCCGTTAATAAAGATGTTCTGGAAGGAGAACAGGCAGCTTGTTGAGCGTAAGACTGTTTAACAGCAGACTTTTAGCGGCTAATGCATCGAGATTCGGTGTATGTATTTGCGGATGAACTGGAGATGGAAAATCGGGACCAAGATAAGCTCTAATTTC